TTTTTTTTTTTTTTTTTTTTTTATGGGAGTAAGGAACATTCCCACGGAGGGTTTCTTTGCTCTCGCGAGGGAAAGTTCTCTTTTACTTAGGGGAAAACGGGGCATTAGAGCTTTTAGGGTTTTGAGTATAAGAACCACGTGGTATAATCGCAGATAGACAAACAGGGGTTGATATTCATCTGGCACCAGTACTAATATTAAATACTGTATTAGTGTAGCGTTAAGCCAGCGCTGGCCATCGGGCGCACAGCCTGTGCGGCGCTGGAGCCGCGGTGGAAACGTGGCAGGACACAAAATGGCGGCGGGACCGCGAAATGGCGGCGGGTGGGCGGGGCCGGCCCCTGAGGGAGGCGGGGGACGTGCAGTAGCAGCACAGAAATAAAGAAGTGAGATAATCTGTGAAGTTCCGCCATACTTCCTGAGGTGCTGTTGCTAGAAAAAGTTACGATGTTGGTCGGACCAAATACTGATGAGTGTAAGTTCTGTTCACAGGTTTTTCACGGCACCCCACAGCAGCATTGCTGTAGTCGACGAAAAAACCTTCTACTTGTCCACATCCTTCGACATCAAAGCGTTAAAAGCTGACGAAAATGAGCTTCTTGAACAACGAGATGCTGTTGGGGGATTCAATATCCCCCTTCAGCCAGCCGTGTTCGGTGGCTGAGGAAAGTCTGGGACTCATAGATGACTACCTGGAGGTGGCCGAGCCCCTCGGTTCGCATGGGTTCTCCAGCGACAAGGCTAAGGCAGTCTCCTCCAATTGGCTTGCTGTGGACAGTTTAGGCAACACCATAGATAGCAGCCAGGGTAAGGTATTACTTATTTTCATAAAGGGCATCAATTACATCCTACCACAACATTCCAGTTGAAAATAAATTGCTAGGGTTTTCATAAATCTGAAGGCAATCTCACATGTGTTTAGCTCTGCTTGGAAAGAGCGTATGTTGTGCTGTTTACCCTACACACAATTGCTGGTTATGGTAAAGTGCCAGTTGTGTTGGCCTTGAAATAACACAGCAGCTGTCAATGGTAGTGTTTCTTGGCAGAGGTAACAGTAAGAAAGCATGGTTGTGTTTTGCAAATGTCCCTGAATTCCTGTGGCCTTTAAATAAGAGGGTTGGAATGTCACAAGAGCTGCTTACATTATACTCTGCAGTTTTTAGGAGCTCAGTGAAAGAGTGCTTTTTTTTTTCTGATGGTTTACTCTTTGTGCTAATACACGAGAGAGGAAAAATGCTGAGATTATACACTGATAGATTGTTTTCATAAGCTTTAGTTGTGATGTTTTACTGTGTGATAGTTTACTAAAGTGGTAACTTACCTTGTGTGTTGTGCAGAGGATGCCTTCTCTGGCATGGAGTGGATGGTGGAGAAGATGGATCTGAAGGAATTTGATTTTGATGCCCTGTTAGGTATGGAACATCTGGAAGCCACCGTCTCACCAGACGAGCTGATGGCCACGTTGGAAGACTCGTGTGATCTATTTAATGCTACCATCCAGGAATTTCACAACAAAGAACTTCCACTGATGAATAACGTAACCACCCATCTCCCTGAATCCCCAGTTGGAGCAGATCCAATGGCTCCATTGGCTTCCCTTTGGTCTCTTCCCTTTTCCCCAGGGTCTCTGACTTCCACTCCAGACCACTCATTTAGTTTAGAGCTAGGTAGTGAAGTGGATGTTCTGGAAGGAGAAAGAAAATGGGAGTGCCCCACTGTTGTGGTGGTGATCACCAAGTCCGAGAAAGAGGAGGAGAACCACTCTGATGATAGTGGAATATGCATGAGCCCAGACTCCTACCTGGGAACCCCCCAACACAGCCCCACCAATTCAGTTGGATCCCCCAATGGCAACCAGTTCCCTGCAGATGCCCCTGGTGGCTCTGTGCGGTCCAAACCATACGATCATCCTGCAGAGAAGGTAGTGTCAGCAAAGGTGAAAGGAGAAAAGAAGATAGATAAGAAACTAAAAAAGATGGAGCAGAATAAGACTGCTGCCACACGTTACCGGCAGAAGAAGAGGGCGGAACAGGAGGCACTGTCTGGGGAGTGTAGAGAGTTGGAGCAGAAGAACCAGGCCCTGAAGGAGAAAGCAGATTCCCTTAGTAAGGAAATTCAGTACTTAAAAGATCTGATAGAAGAGGTCCGCAAGGCCAAGGGCAAAAGAACTAGAGTTCCCGAGTAGGGTAGTCAGCAGTGTTGTGTGCATGTATATAAGCTTCCTGCTAAAGCTGTGTATTGCTGTCTAATAAATAATTTTGTAGTAAATGTGCAATGATGGTGTGTGATGAGTGGTACCTGTAAAACCAGCGTGACTGTAACCACACCTGGGTGCTATTGTGTGTCTAGAGAGTGCTGTGTGTTGTGGGTGGTGGATGCAGTGCAAGTGCAGAGCGTTTGGAACTGGAGTGTGTGTAAAGAGTCTCAGTTAACCTGTCCCCCTCCATAATTTACATGTGTTCCAAGGTGAGAGGGGATCACACTGAGGTGCCTCAGGGTTTTTAGCAAATTTGTAAGTCTGAAACAATTGAGATTGGAGAGCTGATGGAAGACAAGGTCAGTAATACCATGTGGTGGGTGGTGCTTACTTTCAGACTTGGATATTTCTCTGAAGGGAGGAAAAGGGTCCAGGGTCAAAACACAGTTGTGAACACTGGTTTAAGAAAAAGCTTGCTAGTAGATCCAGTGTTTGGTGCACTTGAGTTCCTCATCTGGGTCTCCCAAGTTCCCAAACCATGAGTGGGAGCTGTTGCCTGGTCCTGTCAAACTGGTGTGAGCTGGGCCAGATGGATGGGGTTACTGTAGTGCTCTTACTGATGGGTCACATTCCTGTAGCAGTGTGAAAGTCCTCGCTTCTTCAGCCAGCCACTGACCTGTCAAATTTTAAAATGAAATAAAAATTCACTTTATTCTAGGAAGGCTATAGCTTGAGTTGGTCATAAAACCAGCTCTAGTCCTGCCTCAGCTGTGCAGGGAAGGTACTGGTGTGCTGCAGCAGCACCTCTGTGTGGGTTAGGGTTGCTTTAGGATTTGGGATGTGCCATTTTTAACAACTTGTGTGCACTTTTTTTTTTGCCACTGGTACCCCATTTAACAGTGCTTAATCCCTTTGGCTTGTGGACACACACATACTTTTTGAGGAGTTGATTCCTTTTCACTTGCTGCTGGTGTGGCTCCCTGAGCTCCTGGGTTCGGGTGCCTGGACATCCCAGCCTGGCTGGCACACACATGCAGTGGGGCTGCAGCCTGTGCTGGATGGAAAAGGTCCTTAAGGGAACCTTGGACAATGGTTTCTCCAGTTGCAGCCTGCTGGGGGTCCTGGTCTCTGACATTTGAGCTCCTTATGCCCTCAAGTTAGGGCTGCAGTCTTCATCTCTGCTCCTTGCCCAAGCCATTACCTGATGTGGGATAGCAGCTGAGGGACCTGCTGTGTGAAGGCTGCTCCAGCCCATGGATGGTGCGGGTGGCTGCTGGCATCAGGAGCTGACTGCTGCCATGGGGGGCTGAGAGAGCCCTCAGTGGCACCTGTCTGTGCCTATAGCTGTGCCTGCATGGCTGGGTGCTATTTAAATTGCAGCAAGAAGGCTCCCTCTCAGGAGTTAGGGCTTGTGCCACGCTGAGGGGGGGTTGGCTAAGTAACACCCTCCCCTTGGTATCATGAGACAATTTGAGCAGTCTCCAACCTCCTGGGTAAGGGCACTGTTGACCATGCACTGTGTGAATGGGATGTACTGGATGAAAACTGGAGACTGCAAGCAGGGACGAGGAACTCTTGTGGTTTCAGAGGTAGACCAATGCAATAGGTTTCCTTTGAATCAGCTACATCTGCCAGGTTGGGGATGGGGATAATTAGAGGCAGAAAACCCCCAAGGTTTTGGTCAAATTTGCACCCGAGATGACATTTCAGTTGAGCCACAGAAAACATAGTAACTGCTATGAGTCTATGAGCTGGTGGCTTCCCTGTGCCAGGGAAAACCCTCCTCATACTGATCCCCCTTTCCCACCACAGGGCAACCACCCTTAGAGCCATAGCAGCTTCTGCTGGCAGCCCCTGGCAGCAGCCAGGGCTGAGGGAGCACCTCCTGTGTTCTGCTGCCCTTACTCAGTTCTCCTGAAGCCTGGAAAAATTGTCAGCACATTTTTCCCCTCCCCACCCAATGGCAGGGCTGTCTGTGAGCTACTTGTGGCTAAACTAAATTTTTCTTCACGTTCATGCTCTGCAGGCAGATGAGGCAGTGTCTGAGCTGGCCAGTACATACATGATTTTGGTTTCTACAGCCCTGCAGAGGGTATGCAGGTCCAATTTACCAAATTACACTCACACCAGGGAAGGAAGATCAGAGCTGGAGCAGGCAAGAAGGAATGCATGACGCATCCACGCTGCTTTGCTCTCTGCAGCCGTGCTTTATAGAACTCCGTGCAGGAGAGTCAGAAAGCTGCCCTTAAAGAGCAGTCAGCGCTGTCAGTGCTTGCCGAGGCTCTGAGCTTGTGGCTTTGCAGAGGCGGCCCATATGGCAATCTCATGCAACGCCTGCTGAAATGACGCTGTGTTCCATACTTAGTAACTTAGTTAAGATTTCACAGGGGCTGGAGATCAGGGCTGACTCTTCCTCTGCATTTTTTTATCTAGACTTTTCCTCCAGGCTTCTGTTGGGCACAGCAAGCATCACGCCACTTGGCTCTGCAGCCCAGCAGCTTGTCCAGCCTGCAGCAGGAGCCAAGGAACACTCAGGACACCATCACAAACTCCAGCCCACAAGGGTAAAAAGTCTGATAGCCTCCTGCCTGATAACTGATTTTATATTTTTCAAACTGCAAAACTGCAGGAGCCTCTCTCATTTTTCTCACAGCCTCACAGAAAAAATGTGCTTCAACTGGTTCTTTGCAGCTTGCATAGACCATGATACCATGTCCAGAATTAGATTGTAGTGCATGAAATGCAGGCTTTACCTATCCCCAGAAGAGCCTAGTTCTTCTACATCCTTGGAAACAGCAGAATTCTCCCAATCTGAGTTACATAAAAGCTGTTTGAATCTGAAGCTGGCACAGCTGATGGGATTTCTGTCTCAGTTATTTTTCCTCTGAATTAAGGGCAGCAAAGTAGACTTCACACGCAGTGTACGTGACCCTCAGTCTCCAATCCCTCAGCCAATTTTGTGCTTCATGGTAAACAGGAGTCCAATATTCCCCCACAAAACCAAGCAACCTCTTACAGTTCACTGCTCGCAAACCCCTGTCTCACAAGCTTGTTTCTGCTGTTATCACAATATTTATAACTACCTTCCTCTTCACCCTGCCTTTAGAGAGACCCAAATGCCCTTCTCTTTCAAAAGGAAAAGGGGAAACCATCACTGCTGACGACTTCTTCACACACCTTTGTGGAGAACCAGATGCACCTTTGCAGCACGCTTACAAAAATAAATCCAGAGCTGCAGTGTTGGGGAATGAAGAAAGAATGATGATAAAATCTTTCAAATAGCTTTTGCCCTGGCAGAAAGCCCAGAAATAGCTGCAAGGACAGGCTGTCCTTTGGGAGATGAAGGCTCTTCCAGTGCTCCCAGGCTGGACTTTAGAAAGAAAATGTGGCTTATTCTGATGCAAACAGTTTCACACAGTGGTAGTCCATTCACAGCCTTTTTTGGGGGGTGGGAAATCTATATATTTTTGGCCAGAATACCAGTTTTCTTTATCTTCCCATAGACTTAGGCCTTCAGAAAAAAAAACCCAAACTAAAACAACAAAAAAAACCCCAAACAGGATCTGAATTGTCCTTCCTATAGGCATTATTTTCATCTTATGCATACTAATTTTTTTCTCAATATGGTCCAAGTAGCTTCTGGGACTATCCTTCTTTCCTCTGTCCTGCTGTTTTCACAGCCTTGCCATGCAGTGCTGCACATAAACTCTTGTTACATTTCATTTCCACTGCAAAGGCCATCTTGGGGTCTTACTGTGAACATCCCTTGCTGGGCCAGAAGTGCTCACCTTTGATGACTTTCCCATTGAAATCCTTCAGGCCCTGTGAATTAACAGAGGAATTCAGTCCCCTGACCTAGACAATACTACTTTAGCTGCTCAGATATCCCAGGTATGCTGCCTTTGCATTATTTTCAGTGCACTCATGCAGTGTCATAAGTGAATGAAGTCACCAAATGAAGGAAGCTGGCTGTACCCACAAGCTCCAGTTTCCCTGTTACAGAGGTGCATGCTCTCCAAGTGATGGCCAGCTGCCTCTCATTTCTCCTTCAGCTGCTCTCTTCCTCTCTTTTGCACGCACACACCCTTTTAAGGAATGGCAGAAGTGAGTTCCAGGCGCAGCAGATGTGTCAGCTTAATTTATATAGGGCAGAGAATCTCCTAGTCCTGAAACTCCTCTGCATCTCCATTGCAGTGTGCGGGCAGGTGGAGAAAGAGCCCTGGTCTTTGCCTCCCATTAAAGGAGATAAATCATCTTGCTGGCATGCAAACGGTGCAGCTCGGGACAGGCCAGCTTGGCTACATTACTGCTTAGCCCTGCCAACAGCTTCTTCCTTCAGAAAAAGGTGTGTGTAACCCTGTAGACAGCTGCAGAGCAACCTTCATGCTTTTTGTGTCCCCTGCCCCCACCAGATAGCGGCTGTCTCTGTTAATCCTGTTTAATGTAACTGCAGATAGACATGCAAACCTTTAATCCCTCTCCAACCTACCAACCCTGCAGCCTGCCTTGGCTGGAGTTCCACATTTTGAGCTGTAAGCAGACAGTAGGCAGTCTGCCTTCTTTCACACTCCTTGTTTCGACCTGAGTGGATGTCTCAAAATGAGGAACTTCCTTTCATTGTAACTTCCTGAGGTGGTCAGGAGCCTGTAAGTGCTGTAGGTGCTGATGCTGTGTTGATCGTAAGACTGAAATGTAAGGCAGTCATGGAAAAACCCTCAGAGGGTAAAACTGGCTAAGGTTTTTAGGACCTTCCCCTATCCCTTGATTTTCCCCTACAGCTTTTTCAATGTTTTCAGTCTCTTTTGCCTGTGCAAGTTCATTGGCAGCCAGGTTTGTTACTGCTATATCATTTCAGAGGCAAGAAGTAGATGTCCTGAACTAACATGTTTTCTTGGTTTACTTTTGCAGCCTTCCCCTCTCTGACACACACATAGTTCTGATAGTAGCTGTTGCTTTCTGAGGTAAGTGGAGACTTGCTGATAGAGCAGAGGCTGTATGTACTTAGATTAGTTTGTACCCACTGGAACAAATTTCCTTTTTTTGCTTTCCGTTCACATAACAAGGGAGCAGTAAGCCATTAAGAGGCCTGATGAATCTTATTCACACTAAGCGAGCTCACGGCTGAGCATCTGGGAACCATCCTAAACAGTTTCCCTGGAAAGGTTCTACCACACTAATAACACTCCAGAGCTTTTACTTGCATTCATATTAAAGCTGCCGCTACTGCTGCCCATTCTGACTCCCTGCTGTGTGTGGGTGGAGATGCCCTGTAAGATGGCACCTCACAATTCCCTAGCTCAGCTACCTCTATTTTCTGCTGCAGGATGCTCAGCTGGTGTCGCAGAGCTGGGAAGGGAGCCAGCAGCCTGATGAGCTCAGCGAGCACGCGGCGTTGGCCCGGCAGCAGTGGGACACGTCCCTGCGCTGCTGCTTGCAGATGCGCGGGAAAGAAATGCTGTCCAGCAGGTCCAAAGGTTGTTGTGGCCTGCAGCCTGTCAGCTTCCAGCGTGGGAAACAGGTTGGAGGCCAACTAGGAAAAGCAGCTACAGCAGCTGCTGTTTCCCTAACTCCTTCTTGTCTCTTCCATTGGGCAGAGAAGTCTGGCTGCAAAGAACAGACATCACAGAATCATAGAATGGTTTGGGTTGGAACGGACCTTAGAGATCATCTCATTCCAATCCCCCTGCCAGGGACACCTTCATCTAGAGCAGGTTGCTCGAAGCCCCATCCTGCCTTGCCTCAAACACCTACAAGGATGGGGCAGGTTTCTCCAAGGTAGCCATCTCCTGGTGTCCCAGCACAGCTGGGATCCTCTGGGCATGGCTAGACAGACTGCTGGGAGTATGAGAAGGTACCCAGCTTTAGCTTAACACCAGGCACGTGCAACAGGCTGGTACCTGTTCTTCCTTCTTTGAAGACATTCTCCTCCCAGGGTACCACCTGTCCTTATCTACTCAGTATTCAGATGGCATTGCTCTTCTTTCCTAGGAGCTCATGCCCTGCCAGAGAGGGGGAAAGTCAAGGTTGCAACATGCAACATCATTGCCATTGCAAGATGGCATCTCTAGAACCACCATTCACTTCTGCTTCTTTTTCCTTCTTCCCACAAAATAAAGTTTAATTTATTTAAGGATACTGTTGACTCTACACTTAAATTTAGTTTCAAATGGCAAAATTCAGTCTGTCAGGTAGCTTTACCCTCCTTAACATAATGCCTGAAGAAGTATGTTGATTACTTGTGTTGGCCCTAATAGTCTTTCCAGACAGTAATGAAGCCGCCACCCAGTTCTGAAACTCCACTAATCTGGGTGTTGTTATCCTCGTGGAGAACTGCTCTGGGCCCCACTTTAAAGTTCCTCATTAACTTTGAAAGAAGAGCTTTCCTGTTGCTTACATTTGCAAACAAACAGGCTGGGCTTTGTACAAAGAGAGTGAACCACATTACCCTCCTGCCCTTTTCTGGAGCAAGGAAGGATGTTTTTGCTTCCCTCAGCCTGTGGGAGAAGGGCCCAGGAGCTGAACAACCACAGAAACAAGGGTGCGTAGGAGGAATGGGTAGAGGAGGAGCAGGAGAGGACTTGAAGGACTTCTGTAGGGTCATAGGAAATGCCAAATACTGAAGATGAAGGCTTAAAACAAAATAACACCCCAGAAATCTATCTCTTTCAGTCCAGTTGTGGCACAGCCAGCTTTTTCACACAGTTAATTATTCTCATGACAGCTCCACACAGAGCTGCTTGTGTTAGGCCAGCTCACATGCACTGCAGCAGGCACATAGTGTAGAAGTTTTAGGGAGACATGTGCTGAATACACGTTTTGCTAAACTTTTTTCTTCAAACAATAGTGCTTCCATTCTTTTAAGAAGCTTTTTTTTTTTTTCTTTTTTTTTTTTTTTTTTACTTTTTGGAAGCAAGAACCAACTGAAAAAAGGTAATTGTTCTTTGAACAATTTCTATATTCTTTGCCTGCAGATAGTTGAACCTGATCCTATTACAAGAAATCCCCTCCCACATGCTATTACCAATTTCCAGCACACACACTTCTGTATATTCACTACTTATTTCCCCTCTCTGGATCTCATGTGTCCAAGTGACCTTCCCTCTTATGCAGACAAGAGGAAAAGAACTCATCAGAGGAGGCACAGACTCAAGAGGACAGCACCAGGAACTATAATCAGAGGGCAGGGAAAGGGTAAGTGAATTCCTGCCTGTGCTGGCATCAAGCATCTGCTGCTCAGGTCAGACAGGCCCCTTGTAATCAACTCCTGAGCTTAACCAAAGCTTGGCATTAGTCCTTCTCCTTACCTGTTTTTTTCCCCAAGGGAACACATTACCCATCTTCTTAGGTAAGGGGCAGGAGAAGGCAGTGGCGGAGCTTGCCAGAGGCACACTTAGAGTGGTTTAACGAAGTTTTTGGAACAACACTCCCATCTGCTGGGCCTTCTGTTTGTTACAGCTGGGAATTTAGTGGTAGTCTGAGGGAAAACAACTTCTCTTCAACCCAGCACCACAAGCTCAGGCTCAGATTTTAATTTGATGCAAACACCTAACATCAGGGTCACAAGCCCTCCTGGCTACAGGACCTGGCAACACTCAGCAGTGGCGCCCTGCCGGCATGGCTAAATTTCGGTGGGACACTCTGCTATAAACATTCAAAGGACAACTTTCTCCATGTGAGAGCTGTTCCTTGGAGAGAGGGAAGGTTGTGAGTAGCCAGAATGGAGGAGTCATCTCCATTCCAACCTGCACTCTTTGAAGACGTACGTATGTCAGAGAGATGATTTAATATATGTGTTAACATGAATTGGAGAGGCCATTCACACAACTGAGTCATCCTAAAGAGAGGAATGCTTGGATCACAGCAGTGACATGGCTCATCTTCATCAACTGTCATAATAATCACTACTACAAAGGGAAAGAGAGACAGTGTCTGCAACAATTATTTAATCAAATGACATACAAAAAGTTTTTGCAATGACTGACAGACCTGACAGGGGCTGTAGTAAGAACCCAAACTGCAGAGTTACTCAAGTTTAACAGTCTTTCAAAGCATCATTCCCTTCTTAATCCCAGTACAAAACATTTCTCCATTCAGATACAGTATTTTCAATGCTCCCTGCCAAATAACACTGGTAGCAGGAGTCTTATATCCTGGGGAAGGGGAAAAAGGATTTTATTTGGCTTGGTCCACTCTTCTATATCAAGAATGCAAGACACGCTGGCTGCAGGAAGATAATTATAAGGAAAACACACCTCGGAGCCAAGAGCATCTCTGTGGCTTTAGCAGGCTAGTGACAAGCTCTGCCCAGATGCAGAGCTGCTCTGCAAGTCTGACACAGAGGCACTTGCTGGCAGCGGCACATGCCCCATGTGCCATCTCAAACACGCCAAGGAAATGCTCAGGCCTGCAAGCCAGACCGGAGAAGCTGCAGAAAGATTGGAGCTGCAAGAATCCCTGTCACAACGCTTATGGGACACCAAAGTATTCCCTCTCAAATTTACGGAAATCTTCCTCAGTAAACACTGTGCCTTCGGGCTTCTTCTTTTCTGTCTTCTCTGGAGGCTGATCTTTGGACTTCCTGCCTCTGTTCTGAGCAAGAACCTTCAGACAATACAGAAATGGAAAAAACAACAGTCACTGTTATCCAGATCAAACCACAGTGATTTTCAAGCTCTCCTGCAGCATCCCTGCTGTTGTACAAGAGCCCTGCTATTTTCCAGCGTGCCTCCCAAGAAATGTGAGAGGCAAACCACTGATGTTAACCCAAGCAGGTCACTGGGACAACAGCAGATACCACCTTGTTACTTGGAGTCAAATATGAAAACTATTTTCTAGTAATTGTCACAGAGGTAAGAACATTGATTTAAATTCAGAATCTTCTGAAACCATGACCTTCTTTATTATCCCCTCTCTCCATGACACAAACCAAAAAACCAGTTCCCTCAGCATTTTCTAATACACTATCACCTCCTGTCACAATCTCCAGCCTGAGGAAGACTGGCCTAAACCACTTCGTTTGTTTATGTAAGTTAACAGCCTGTATCTCATGAAAACAGCCCAAGATTCTTCACTGTCAGCTATTCTTCCCTTCAAATCCTGGCATGAGACTACCTTTTGGGGAAGACCATTCAAGAAATTCTCAAGTTATGAGAAACACCATTTAAGAGGCTGAGTAATTCTTACTACATGAGCCAGCAGCACATCTGGTTCCTAGTTAATAAGCCTTAGGCTACAGAGAAGGACAATCTGATCAACAGTAAGGAGAAGGTCTGAAACAGTGCATCTCTGCCAGCAGAAACTATAAAATATCTTTGGTAATTAATAAAAGACAACAGCTGTCAGAATATTTTGAGGAACCTGATGTAGCAGGTGGCATTCCTGCCCGTGGCAGGGTGGTTGGAATTGGATGATCTTTCAAGGTCCCTTCCCACCCAAACCATTCTATGTTTCTATGATTTTCACTAGTATGAGAGAACATCATAGGGGGCAACGTATCAACAGTTTAAAGCTTAGTAAGTTATTTTGCCAGTGCACATAGAAATTCCTCAAGGCCATGTGTAGACAGAAACTTATCTTGACTCTCTTGTGCAAGGTATAGATCTGGAAGATCCAGGGATCATTCCCATTCACCTGTGTTCCTCATTGTAAACAGAACCGCCTCCTCCCCCCCGAAAGAAATTACATTCTTACTTGTTCTGTGACAGCTTTGTCTGCAACAAGTCGTCCCTTTAACATGTACCGCAGGTTTTCTCTCAAGTGATTCACAGGCTTCTTCTTGTGGTACTCCTCTGGGGCAAAGCAGAAAGGGACAAAACGCATCAGCTGCTCATCCAGACAGCTCACAAGGAGAGACACAGGAGGATCAGCAAAGCCCCGGGAAACAAACACCGCTACAGCTCAGGGATAGCCCCCACAAATGAGGCTGCGTGTAAGTGAGCGACACCAAGAGGGCGTGCAGGAGGGTGAGGTGGGACGGGACGGATACAGCGACCGGCAGCGTGGCTGCGGGACACCACAAGGGTCCCCGGTGCGAGAGCTGTGGAGGGGCCGGGACTCACCTATCGCCGACTTCACGACCCTGCCCTTGACCGTGGCCTTGTTCCTGCCGGCCTCCAGTGCTCTCTTCCTCCGCCTCGCCGCGCCCGTCGTCCTGGGGCCATCCCGGCCTTGCTGGAGTCCCCGCGGCGCCTTCGCCCGGCCTGCAACGGGAAGAGGGACGGAGTCACCGCAGGGGTACCGGGGAGCTCCCCCTGCCCGCCGGCAGCGCCCGGCCCCGCGGGCTCACCCGGCGGCTCCAGCAGCTCCAGGCCGCGGCGCAGCAGCGATGCCGACATGGCCGCGCCGCGCTCCCGCCCGGCCCCACAGCGCCGCGCGCGGCCCGGCGGGCACCGCGCCCGCCTGAGGGCGGCGAGGCGGGGCCTGCCGCAGGGGACGGGCTCCTGCCGCCGCCGCCCGGCCGAGGGACACAGAGCAGGGGCCACGGCGTAAAACAGGAGTTTTCACCTCAAAACGAGGCGGAACTTCTCCGCGTTTAAGGCGGCGGAGCGCTGGAACCAGGCTGCCCAGAGAGGTCGTGGAGTCTCCGTCTCTGGAGACATTCAAAATCATCTGGACGTGTTCCTGTGTCATCTGCTCTGGGTGACCCTGACCTGGCAGGGACTGGGGCTAGATTATGTGAATATCAAGATTACCTTAAGTCAGGATGTTCTTTGGTGCAAGATCTTTGAGTACTTTCAATGCTAATCAGCAAGGAAAAAGACTTAATTGGAACAGGCAGCGGTCAGCATCCCTTAGTCAAGGACATCCAGGAACTAACAAACTTTAAGGAGGTAGTAAGTAAAGATCTGTGTCAATAGAACAGGTAGCAGTTAGTATTCCTTACTCAACAATATCCTGGACCTAACAGCCTTTAAGGATGTAGTAAATCAAGATGTCGATGTAAGTCTATGTGTACGTTGCTGATTTGGAAAAATAGTCAAGTTGTATGTATATTCTCTGTAATACTAAAAGTCATGCCTAAAGGTGAAAAAGACTCCTGTCCAGGTGAAGGCCCTTCCTCTGAGCCTGCACAGAAATTAACTGGGGTTATGTGATTCCTCCTACTGACTCATCACAAGACAGCGGCTGTAATTGGGAAGTTCTAGACCCTGAACTTCTACGTATAAATGATGGTGTGGAAAAGTCCAGTGGGCATGCTTGGTTTGGGGAATGTCACCAAGCACCTGGGCTCACACAACACTGAAATAAATGATCAAGTCTCTCCTAAGTGGGTAATTGCGGGCTTGTTGCACACCAGGTAATGAGTCTGATTTTGTGGACAGCACAAGGGGTCCTGCCATCATAGGGGTTGTCACAGGCCAGGAGGAAAGGGGATGGTGTCATGTTTTGTCTCAGCAAGGCCCCAAAAATCCCCATTTAACTGTGCTAGGCTCATCAGGCAGAGAGGTTGACTCTGCCATAAATTGCATCTATTATTCAGGGTTACTTTAGTCTATTTGTTTAAAGCTTTCTTCTCCAGTTTTCACCCCTCTAGAGACTTCATGCTAATATCTGCTAAATTTAGCTATCATTTGAATAAAGCTTATTCAATTATAGCCAGTGCTGCCAGTAAGAAGCTGACACTGGAGGAGGAAAGAGGTTTATTCTCCCTCAGACATGTCCTGCAGGGAGAAAGGGATACAAATGGCTCTCATTGTTTCTCATAGTAATGATCTGTAACAGGGACCAATAACAGTTAAACCTCTGTGTATTAAAAGACAGTCATTCTCTGGAAATTGTTCTCCTGCCTCTGCAGATGTCACCTCAGTGCCTGTCTTTTATTGTTCCTTCTCTTCTGAATCCCTCCCTGGATGGATACCAGCATACTGTGTCAGTTTCCGCTAATGCTGCTAATACATTTTTCTGGACAGGACTTATGTGGTGCCTATTCCTGTCTTCAGAGCTGGGGAACATTAACCATTTACTGCTTGTTCAGCATGTCACTTATCACTCTTAGTTTTCCCTTTAATGAGCTATTTTTAAAAATTTATTTGAAGGGGCAGTTGCTGGATATGGAACGCAAAACACTTCTCCATTTTTTTTGTTTTCTCTTAGTAGCTGGTGGAAAATGGAACCTGCTCAGCTCTTACTCCCTGCCAGATTTGTCCTTCCACTTGTGTGAAAGCTCACAAAGTTACAAAGAGGGTATTGTAGCTTTGTGAAGAAGCTGAACAAGCCATGAGTTGATAGCCTATTGCTAAAACAGAGGAAAGCAATAAAGAATATTATAGTCAGCAGAAAAGTGGTTACTGCTTATATACTCATATTATCTTCATCTTGGTCAGACTGGGATAAATGATAGCTGCCAATGCCATGGGGAAGGTATTTTTAAAAATACTTCGTCAGTCAAACACTCTTTTAGCCCCTAAAATACAAAATTACAAGTTCTGTGTAAGCTGTTCATGGTTTCATATTGCACAGTATATTCAAGTCAGTTTATTCTTCTGATTAAAGTTTTTCTTCGAAAAACTATATTTGTATCATTTATTACCAACATCTAATACATTGTTACATATGCTTTGTGTCAGAACTATGCAACCTCATAAATGTTTTATGCAGTCATCTGATGCAAAACCAGCTTTATTACCAGCACTACAAAATATGTTTAACAAATTAGTGTGATAGAAGCTGCACTGATTTATTATCCTGTTCATGGAACACATATCCCCTTTTCTACCTCAAAAGTAAACCATTACCATCTCATTTCCATTTCTGTTGTGTCAATTAACAATGATCTCAGTTATGTAGGTGTCTCAGAAAATCTGACTCCATTCTTATTAAATACCTGCAGTAGCAAGGACCTCATAATACAGGCAACTCCTCCTTTGACCAGCAAGGCCGGTGCTGTGATTTTAGTCTGCAATTACCTGCAAAATAAAATTTAATGAGTACACAGGGGGGTCACTTTGCTGAAGAGGGAAGGTAAGGCACTTTCTTTAACTGCATTCACAATCTCCTGCCTCAGAGTCTGGTCAGGTTCTTGAAACTGGTTAGTTCACCAAGAAGTTAAATGGATGCACACTTTGTGGTTTGGTGTATACCCCAGGTTTGGATCTGTTGCCAAGGACCACGGTCTGACGTAGGCTGTGGAGTTTTTAACACTTTGTGGAATCACGTAGCTATTATTAATACATTACATTTCTTCATCTCCTTTTAACAGAATCTGACAGCTTTTCTCAGGGCATGATTGTTGCTGTTTCTCCTGACTGCGTTCTGGTGGTAGCTGTGCTTGTTCTTACCAGAGATGGTGATTACAGCATCTGTCCTGTTTCTGCTGGGTGGCTCTGGTACAACCAACACCTGCTACACTCCTGCAGACAGAGGTGCAGAGTCTTCCTTTGCTCTTTGACCTTTATAGAGAATTATGCATCTTTTCCCTGCGCTGGTAAACAACATAAATTTGTTGGCTTATATTAGGAATGTAAAATCATCTCTTAATACGAACTAGATTTTGCCTGTGTACTATATGTTACTTCTCCTATAGCTGTAGAATGTAGGCATTTGGATCACATAGCATCTTCTCCATGCTGTAAACTGTAAAATACCCTATGCTGACCTTAGATTAAGTCAGCTACCTGTTTCTGATAAATCTGCTTTAGGCTGAGCACAGCACATGAAGTGCTGTATTTCTCTTTACAGGAGCTTCCTTGGCTTTATCAGTCTCTCAGTGGTGATATGCTCCTTGTGTCATCGTGATAGATACATTTACCCATGCCTTTCTTTTACTCAGTCACTATTGAAAGCAGCTGAGCAGACCCAACAAATAGCTTTTTCCAGACTAGTATGTGCTATTAAAAACTTAATGTTATGAGACTTTGTCTATGCCAGTAAAAAAAAAAAAAAAAAAAAAAAAAAAAAAAAAAAAAAAGTATTTCATTATAATGTTTTAAGGCCTCTATTCAAATTAAAATTTCATCCAAGATGAATAAAATTAAAATTTCATTGCTTTGCAATCCCTCAAAAATCAGTTCAGTTAGCTCTTTGAAGCACTTTGGGGACAGAATGAATGCCAAATGGTCTAAATTTAAATGTATAACATCCAAATAAATCACTATCTTAGAGCCTGAATAATCTGAGTTAGGATGGCAAAAACCATAGGTGCTGCATTTCAGACTGAGAATGCCTTTCTTTCTGAGATTTAAGATGTCTTCGAAAGCTTCTGACGCTAATGTTCATGTTTTATAGCTTTCTTTAAATCTCATGCCTCAGTGGGTAGCTGGCTTTTCAAGTACTAAATAACCCAGCCTACAGATCAGTTGGAGTTTTAAGTAACTTCCATATGTGAATATTATGAGTTTGCTTTCTGCTTGCTTTCTTGTGGCATTGAAAAATGGTAATTTTTCCTGCTTGGATATGTGGATAAAGTTCCTGGTTCATCTTGGAACAACTATTATTTCTCTATTATTCTGGGCTTTGGAAGACATCTGATTTAGCTTGTTCCACCTTATTATTCTGTATTACATGCTAACGAAGACGTACCTGATATTCATGTCTAATCACACTGCTGTCTGTGGCAGTTCATAATAGCTGTCTATTTGCTCTTACTTTATGTTCCAGCTTCTGGATTCAGGGGGTTATGTAGGAGTCTCAGTCTGAAGGAATGTTGTGAAGGATGTGAGAAAAGAGAAGATAAGGGCAGCATTGGAAGTAAACTATAACAGTCACAAGCTGTTTAGGGCGTTTTAAAAGAAACAGTTTTATGATTTTGGGAAATGAGATCCTGATGTCTGAACACTTGGTACAGTCCACATTGGCAAATATATCTGTATTGTCTCTTCCAAATGAATCAGACAGATTTTCAAGCTGATTTATAGCAGATTTTCACCTCAGCATGTTTCTTCACATGTGGATTAGTGAATGTGCTTTGCTTTAAGCAGCTGTCCAGTTTTACCACTTCCCATACTCTGTATTTTCTCTTGAACAGCAATACCCAACGCTGCTGTCATTAATATTTAGCTCTGTTTGCCATCCTGAAGCAGTTTGTGCTGTGGTCACTGTTACTACAAAGAGCCATGGATCACTGCCTGCCCTGTACCTCAAGTGCATAGGAACCCTTGTCCTTTAACAGTGTGACATGCCTTTGAAAAACAATTCAACTTTCCAGCCTACTGAATTTGAACAAGGGCTGGGCAATGCTTTGATTCATGCACTTGCATGGAAAAGTATGTAGTTATTTTAGACTGACAGAAAGTATTTTATTCTGTTTTTTTTTTTTGTTTTTGTTTTTTTTTAATGCAGTGCAGACATCTACCTCTTCCATTCACTTTCCAGTGACCTATTCCAGTTCACTAAGAATCTG